GAAATTCACGGAATACTGCTTCAGGAATCATTGTCCTGGGTATGACTATGAACGATTCACGTGACTTTTTGAAATTTTTAGTTCTCTTACTAACAAAATTCTATTAGTATTCGACGCTTTTTCTACATTGTTTTCATAGATTATTATGTCGTTATGGATGTTTCTATACGGTCGTCCTAGGAAATTATTAGAAAAATCAGAAGTCTCTCGTAGTGACGTCAAAGCACAAAGATGTGACTTGAATTCTTTGCATGCGAGTTTTATTCATTGACATGCTCTAGGTCGTCTGTATTTCGAAGGAATAGTGCTATGAGTAGAAGCTGTTAGTGCTCCGCGTTATGTTTCACATTACGTTGGACGACAAATATTTTCTATTTAGCTCTAGTACAACGATTAATGAAATGAAATTCTGTGACCTCAATATTACGGGTTTCGTTGGGTCTAGAAATTTTCTTCTTCTGCACGATTTTTTACATTTACTGGATTAATTGAATAACAGACTGCATAAAATCACTGAATTTAATTAATGCATCCATTGCCTTACATACGACGAGCTGATCGCAATGGATTGTCAATGCAACGAAGTGAATGGTCACCAAAAATGATATGTAAAAATTCAACAAAGATATTATCATGTTTAGAAGAAATCTATACTATTTGTTGTCAACTAGGTAGCTGGAAATACTTTCGAGACTATGCTCAATAGTCCTGCTTTCTTAGAACGACGATCATATTAATATTTATTAGAGATGATTTTTGTTTTTCATTATTTACTTTTTATACAATATTTAGAGACAACAACACTTACATTTCGTTACTTTAAAGATGAATATCGAAAACATTTTCCTGTCGGAAATGTTTATAAGTAGTTAAGCATTTTTCTTTCGAATTTTGTCATTTTATATTGATTTAAAAATCAGAGAGACTTATTGAATGGTTTCTTAACTGATGTTACTTGTTCGTTGAATATTTTTTTGTAGTGATAGTGATTATTTGCGTTTTTTAGTTGTACCTATCACATACAATGCATACGATTCGGTTAACTATAATAGATCAAAAACTCATCTCTATGGTGGTTATTCAGATATTTAAACTCAAAATTATTTATCGACCAACAATGATATGAATAGAACAAATTTTTTATCTTCTGTACCATTGAATAAGTATTTTCCGACTCCTAATACATCTACTTCATTATCCTCTTTTTTTCAATAGTTTTTTGATCGTGTTCTCATACATGAAAAATCTTTTACTTTTGATGTTACTCAAGAAAACATTTAGTAGTATAATTTTCTATTGTGGAAATGCATCATTTCCTTTTGATTCTTTTGTGGGTACCCGTATTTTTGTTTTTGTTTTTTTAAAGAAAAAAGGCAGGAAAAGGATGGTGAACATTGGAATTAAAGAGGAAACTCTTCCATAGGAATATCGAATAGTTTCTATTGATTTTGCAACTGGTTTATTTCTCGAATTTAAACATAAACAAGTTTAATCATGAAAAATATTTTGAAAATAAAGAGCAGTTAGAAGAATAAAATCTTAATCTATGTGTCAACTTATTTTGAAGAAAAAAAAATAAGTTATTTATCAGCTTGTTTTTGTGTACTCAAAAAAAAATGAGTACACTAGATTCGGTCAGTGTGTCCGGTCGTTAACACGATAGCTTTTGAAAGCTTCATCCAATTGCCATGAAATTTTGTACACCCAATGATCTCATCAATATTTCAGTCGGGTTCGAAGATGAGAAGGATCCGTCAAGAAATGGCTGAGTTATCGAAAAAATTGTCATTATTGACCAGATCATCCCTGAGGGGCGGGGGGGGGGGGGCGAGACCGGGTTTTTTTCAAAAAAACTTTTTTTCTCAGAATTATTCAAAACATATATAAATCGACTCAGTTTTTGCAGTACACATAACAATCGGATGCAAATCCGATGTTTCCGCATTTATTTTTTAATGTTTCTACTCTAAAAGAATTTATTATCCGTAAAAATCAACTTAATAATTTTATCAAAACTATATGGCAATAATTGTGAATTGAAATATTTCAAGATGAAAAAATAACTGTCAAATTTATGTTTGGAAAACAACCTTTTAACAACTATTCGCTTGAAGAAGTTAACTACAGCACTGTTTTCGGTTTTTATATGTAAATGATTATAAGCGTAAATTTCGAATGACCATAGATTAAATTGTTCATTGAATGTGAAAATACTATGTTAGAAGAGTGATAGATCCAATTTCTTAACATAAGGTGGTCATTCATTTTTAAAGTTACCTGCTATCAACAAAGACAAACGTAAGTAAGGACACTCTAATTCACTAATATTCTAGATAAATCATTGATTGATCATTGACGTGAAAGGAAACGACAAATTTGCTATGTGAACCGTACTCACTTGTGTTTTCACATTTGAATTCGTAACATGAATGGTAGAAAAATTGCACATTGTTTTCTTAAGACTTTTTCAAAAAAACAAACATTTTAATGCATTACATAGATATTCATGAAGCATTTGATCTACAAATTGCAAGTATTTTCAAATGAATAAAAAAGATAAAAAGAAAAGCTTTTTAGTTCTTTGTCGAGTCTACATGTCATTTCATCATTTGTTTTTCTTATGGCGTCACGTAAATATACACACAATTATATGTTTCATCGATGAAGAGAATGGCTGCCTTTGTCGTCATGTCTACAATGATGAAATAGTAATTTCACAAGCGCAGATAATAATATATAATATGGCTGTTTCATATTTTTGCTTTCATTCAATTTGTGCAACATGTCAAAAGACGTTGAGAAAAAAGTCGAAGATATTGGTTCGATGTGTATTATTCTTCATCGTGAACGAAGCTTTCACAATGTTGATATTCGAATATTAAAAAGTGCTTTACAAAAGTATGCTCGTCGGGCGATGTTCGTTCCTAAGGGTGTCTGGTGTCTGATTGAATTAGATCTTTTTTCTTATCTTGAAATAAAACCTGATCTTTATCCAAATACTCGCTTAACACAAAAGCAAATTCAACAAAACTCAGTACGCATACGTTCAAATATGATTAATCGTCTTGTAGCATTTATGAGTGAAGATGTAGGTCCATGCAATAGTCAATTACCGAGTAAAATATATGATTTCTACTTACAATGGATTAAATCTCGTCGAGACATATCAAGTCGAAAGATACTGATTCAAATGTATCATTGTTTAGCTAATGAAAATATAAAACGAATTCGATTATTAAGTGATCTTAAAACGGTTTATAATCTACCTGAGTGTCCGAAAGAGAGTGATAAGTTACATCCGAAATTATTAGAAAAATTTCAAATGAACGAATTAATAAAGATTATGTACGAAAATGAATCTCCAAGAAAAACGGTCAGTTGTTTTTCTTAGCTGTTTTCTTCTTCTTGCTCATTTTTATTTTTAATTCATCTTTGAAGAAACAACAACTTTATGAACTTATTATTGAACATCTTTCAATGAAATCTGAGCTCGCCTTTGCTTATCTCTCAGTTTTATTTAAAAGAAATGATCAATCATTGATTAATCAACATCTTTGGCCGTATCTTTTACAAACATCACCATTTGCACATAGTACTCGAGCTCTTGCTTTCTTTTATAAAACTTTGAAACACAAAGAACATTATCTTTATTTATATCATGCGATGGCATTTGTTATTTATGAAGATACTATTCGAAAAATAGATCAACAATCAAATGAAACATTGAATATTGATATTGATCAATTATATAAAGATCATTTAAATGCAGAAACAAACATAGAATTAGATTCATTTGTGTTCGATCGACATACAGGTATTGCAACAACAAGAAGTGAATTTGCTCTTGAAGGTGCTCAAGTCGCCAATGAATGCAAAGAGTTATTTATAGATAAATATAGACAAATGTATACTGAATTTAAAGTTATGATGGATAATGATGAACAAGAAAAAAAACAGAAAAAAGAAACAAAATCAAGAAAAACAAAAAGAAAAACTGAAGAATTACGTGAAGAAAATATAATTAAAAAAAAAGCCAAAGTAAGAAAAACGAAATTATGTCGTAAAAGAAATGTAAATGTTAGTTTATTTATTTTTTTTGTTATAGTTAAATACTGATGAACAAGTGACAACAGATGCTGAACTTGATAATGAAATAATTCGTTTAGATTATCATATTGACATAAAACCAATATCATTTGTTTCTGATGAATTAGCAAACCTTGCGCATGGTCAACCACGTACTAGTGCTCATAAAAAAGCTGTATTCATCTCATCAGATTATATCTATAAAGGTCCTTATTTATCGAATTTACAAGGCGATAGAAAAAGATTATTATATAATCTATATTTTACTCGAGCTTTACTTGCACTTGAACAATATTTAAAAATACCAGAATATATGCAATCTATTATAGACTGGGAGTCAGTAGTCAAAATTGATAATACCAACGAGTATTATTTGAAACAAAAATCTTTAGGAAACTCGTCTCTATCCGAAAATGATCATGATAGAGTAACAACAAAATTAGAAACTAATGTTAAAATACTTCGACGTGGTTCACATATTAATCGTTTGATTGAATTAGAAAAAGATGAATCTAATTTTCAAGATGATAAAAAACAAATATGTCAAGCATGTTTACAACATTTTTATTTACGTTATATACTTAATATTGGAGATTCTGGTACATGGAATATACTTGTACGACGAGATCGTAATCAAGGAATTTGTGGAATTGATTTTGAAGAAATTAGATCAGAAAAATCAAAGAAAACTAATGATCCTTTAGCAATACTGATGAGTAAAATATCTAAACGACAACAATATCTTTATGGACCATGTATCGATGATATCATAATATTCAAAAATAAAATTGATTCATCAAATGAACTAGCGACAACATTATCAGTATCGTTTAAAATTGATATTGAAACGATGAACGAACGTATTGAAAAATATAATAATTGTATTTTAAAGAAAAAATGATAATTAACTAAATAAAATATATTGTTTTAATCATGACACGACAATTATCTAGGTTCTAATTTATGTTTTGATTCACATTGAGATGATTTTCATTTTTGTCCTATGCTAAATCTTTCAAGAAAGAAAAGCATTAGTAAAAAAAACATTAGGATTATTGAATGTCAATGGTCTCATGCTTTTATTTTCGATATTATAAGTGCTAAAAAAGATTTCATACTTTGAATCGTTTCCTTTCGAACACAATCTTCCGAAATTTTGTAATAAATGCCTTAAAATACTGTTCAACTCGAAAGGATTCACAAAATATCATTTCCTATGGTTGGTTTCTAGTCACGTATAGTGACTAAAGTTACACGTTTTTTTTTAGTTGACAAAACAACTACGTGATTGATTATTTATTTTTTGTTTTCCGCTACATTTCTAATGTGCTAATCACAAGGAACTTTCTCTGTCCTATACATTATTCTAAATAGTTAACTAGATCTCGAATATCTTTTTAGAACTTTACTAAAACTAATATTTTACTAAGTCATAAACAATGCAGTTATGAAAACTGATCTGCTAACTTTTGGCTTACTTTTACAGGCAATTTGTTTTCATGACTAAAACACAAAAGCTTCATGGCTCGAATGTAACAGATTCCCAGCAAATTATTTCGAACAGAGTTCAATAGTAAATTATAAAGAATATCATCAGATACTTGAAATAGCTCTTTAATGTATTAAAATATGAACAATGCAATAGTTCGATTGAATCAGATATCTGAATATCTTTCTAGATCACATTGCCCAGTAGTATCGAAATTTTTTCATGATCATGTTCTTTTAATCAATGCTGATACAAGATTATTTAATTCAAGAAAATTAATGATCATTTTCCAGATATCTATATCTATATATATATATATATATGTATTGTTCAAGATTGATGAACTCAGAAAAAAATAATGAATTGATCAAGTACTATCTAAAATTGCATCTCTTTATTCGTTTAGAAAAATCTTCAAAGAAAAACAAGTAGACTTTAAGTGCAATTAAATCTCATCATAGCATATACGAATTGTTGTTTGAACGGACGAAACAATGTATTAATTTCATCCCATGATTTCCATGTTGGATTAGACCAATCAGCATTCAGAGCTTGACGTAATCCACCGATAAATTTACTTGAATCATGCGCTTTTTTCTTTAGAAAAGCTGCTGTATGTGGTGCAGCATTGAAAAGTGGTCTATACTTTTCATCCGATTGAAGTTCTTGAAGATTTTCTTGCATGACATCAACAAGTGAAGGGGATGAAGATGCACAAATTGATAATTTTCCAAGAGCTTGATCAAATGGAGTTCGCACTAATTAAATATACGTATATCAATTTCTAGGTTAATGCAAGAAAATAATCAGGTAATACTAACTATTTGAAGTCTTCTTTCCTTTTGCTTTTGAACTCTTGCCACTGGCATCATCTTTCTGTACTTTAGTCTTGTCTTTTATCGTAGTACGATCACTAGTACTTTTCGTAGAAGTTTTGATCTTGCCTTTAGTTTTTGTATCATCAACAGTATTTTTCTTGGATTCTTTACTTTCAGCTTTTGTTTTTGTTTTTATATTTTTGCCATCTGTAGTCTTTGTTGATGTAATATCTTTTTCTTTGGTTGATTTGCTTTTTGGTTTGGTTGTTGTTGATGGTTTGTTGGTGTCACTTGATGCCAAATGAATGTAACATAGCTAGTATTGAAAAAAGAATTTTTATTCATTTAGAAATAGACTTTTAACTTACTAGTAAACACAATGCAAAAAAGAATATAAATCTCATTGCGTATTTCTTCTAATGCCAACAATTTCACTAGATTCTACTCATAAATATGTTATCCAATATTACTCAAAGCTAAACTAAGAAAACAGAGCGTCTATAATAATGATAAATATGAACTCTGAGATTAATGAATGCAGAAAACGTATGACATTAATAAGTAGATATCTTATTTGAGAACAGATGTATGTGTTTGAACTACAAGTTAAAAAAGAAATAATCTCTAACCATGTTTTATGATGACGATGATATAAAGCGTTGAATATATACAAATATTTTCTCAATTCTCTTTCTTTACTCAACATGTGTCCTTGAAGAGTTGAGAAATTGTTAAATATATACAGGCCTTGAAGTTGAATAGAAAATATCAACAACAACAACAACAGCAAATAGATAATTTTTGTTTCGAATAAAAGAGATTTCTTAGAAAATATAATTGTTTTCAATGTATGAACATATAACTAATGATACCGTCCGGTGGTAAATTTCATTTTACTCATCATCAATAAATAAAAGCATTTGATTCAATACATATTCTATGAGTGTATCTACGATAAACTATTAAAAAATATTATCGCTAGTATGCACGAACAATGTTAGCACAAAATAAAGTTTATCAATTAAATAATAAGTTGTTCGAACACATTATCTTGGAAATAATATTCAAGGACTCAAAGTGAGCTTGAAATGGAATAGTTACAAGTTTTCTATGATGAGCTCTTCGTACTTTTAAATATTTCTTTTCTGAAATAAATACCTTCATTGAATCATACGCATCGTACAAAAGTTCAATCCATTCTTTATACTGATGGAACAACATTGGTGAAAGAAGAAACTATATGCTTGGCTCTCCTCTAAAAGACAATATTTTCAATAAAGTTGATGTTCTTGCTTATTATTATATTTTATAAAGCTACTGCCAAACAAATTTGTTAATTCTAGAAAATTCAACATATTATCTGATTAAAAGCTAAATCTAAGAACAAGACGACCGAAGTGCAACTATTTTTCTATTACGTTATAAATATGTTTATCTTGGCGAGACAATACTGTGAAATCGACTAAGAAATTTATCAATACAAATTCGAAAGGATGGAATATTTCGCAAACACCGATATGATTCATCGACGAACGTTGCATGAAATTGCAGAACCATACTTGTGGTACTTCTGCATAAACATAATTCATGCAAATTCTACTATTCAGCCATTTGTTGAGAAACTGATATATCAATATGTTTACACACAATACTAACTATACAGTGAATATGATAGTTAATAGCTATACGAATTATTTTCTCTTAATTTATAAAAAAAAAATAACACCAAGACAATAATGTGCTTCTCTCTGCCCACGTACCATCAAAATAAGTTGAAACTTCAAACATGAGATTGTATACTTAGAAGAAATCAAACACTTACCATCATTCATTCATTCATTCCTTCCTTCAAGTATCAAAAAAAATCTACATGTGTACACAATTTACTTGTACCGTAAAAAGGTTAACAGAAAGAATGAATGAACTTTTATTTGTAGATTCGGTTTTCTTTTAGATAAACATTCTGCCGATTCATCTTCTCATAAGTTTCTGTAAACTAACAATAACAATTCTACATTTTTGGCAAAATCTTGCATGATTAAAATCTCACAATCCAGCTGACAGTCTTTTTCTTGTCAAATCAACTATTCTGATGTTGTTTTCTTAATTGAAAATTTTCTTTATTATTGTTTTGTATTTTAATGCATTCATGACAGCATCAAGTTGGGTTCGTTTATTCAAGGATTGAAAAAAATAGCGACATTGATTGGTCACGAAAGACATTGCAAAGATTGATGTTTTAAAAGGCATGTGCACAGTTTAAAAATGATTTAAAGTCAACAAAATTTAAATCTTTGTAATATTTCAGGTGAGAGATCCCAATCTGAGTCAATGTTAGCAGGAGCGAAACAATTAACATTTGATAAAGAATCGTTGTCTAAAGAAAACAGATCTACACTAATTTAGTATTTTTTCCATTCAGACTTAAATTTTAGTTCTGTTTATTTTCCATTTCTAGATTCTATATGAATATTTTTTAAAAAATATTTTAGATAGGAGTTCAAAGAAATAAAAGAAACAGAAGTTCCTATGGCAAAATCAAACATTCCAACACGAGATAACAGAAATATAGATAAAGATCATTCAGAATTAATTTCTCTTGATGCATCTATTTTATTGGCAGCAGATCCAACTCATGCTGATATACATTCTATTCGTATCAAACAAGAAAATGTGGAAAGTGTTATTTTCATTTGGTTAGATCCTCAGGAAAAATCCGGTCTCAATCTGGTTGGACTACTGCGAGCAATCAATCATCATGTACAAGTTTTCAATGATACATCGACTTGCATCAATGCAATAAAGTTTTCACAAGAAAAAATCTTTTTTATTACGTCATCAGTTGATAGTAGTTTGATTGCAATGGTGCATAATCTTGCTAGTGTTGAAGCAATTTTCATACTTGCTCTAAATGTAGACAGTATTAAAGGTGATTTTCCAAAAATATTTGGTATATTTCCTCAACACGAAGAATTATTACGTACGCTAAAAGAGATATTTGACATTTTTGAACAAATACAACTTGAATCATTTGTATTCGAACACGATAAATTATTTCTTTGGTCACAATTATGGAAAGAAGAAGTAAGTATTAAAAAAGGTAACTCCTAATTGTGATCTCACACGGGAATTTTATTGCTTTTTAGTATTAATAAAAATTGAAACACTTTTTCTTCATTTAGTTGATGAATCGAAAAATATCATCGAAAAAAGAGACATTTGTTGCAGCAACTCGACAACATTATCGAGATAATGCAATGATAAATCGAATTATTGACGAATTCGATAAATCTTATCGTTCTACTGAAGTTCTTAAGTGGTGTTTTCATTCTCCATTTCCTTCACGTTTTCTTCATCACGCACTTCGGTCGCACAACCAAGAACAACTTCATGCATGTCATTTTCTATTTTCTGATGCTTCTCGTTTTTTTCAACGATCTGCTAAGCGTAAAGCTACGGAGAAAGTCTATCGAGGTATGAAACTGTCAAGTGATCTTCTCGATATATTAAAGGCTCATACTGGTCAACTCGTATGTACAAATGGATTTTTTCCTTGCACTAAATCGAGAGCAAATGCTTTGACACTTGCATCCATACCAACATATCGTACTGATTTATTACCAGTTCTATTTAAAATTGATTGTGATGCATCAGTGCCAAGCATCGAAGTAGCTGATAAACATTCCGCACCCTTAATGGTATTTGATGTTTGTACATCATTTCGTATTCTTTATGTTAATCGAGATCAAATGACAATTATCAAAATGAGAACAGCTAGTGATGCAGGAAAAAAAATTGCTCTCGACTTCATCGAACAGCACCAAGATAAAACACTACAATCCCTTCTTGGTGAACTTATGAGACAACCAATGACTCCGAAGCCAGGTACTCGTCCAGACTTACGGTCAACATCTAGACCGAATTCAAATTCACAAAGGTATGAGTTTTTTTTTCTATTTTTGGTACATGAAATCTAATTGATACATCTAATTTTTGTTTGTTATTCTAGAGATTCTACTTTAACTTCTGAAGAAATAAAAGCACAAAAATGTATCGAAAAAGGAGAAATCGATCGAGCTTTAGCTATTTATCAACGTATTCAACCTGTAACTCCTCGTATTCTGAACGCCATAGGTCAAATATGTGCCGATAGAAAAGAGGATTATAAATATGCTTTGCAATGTCACATAAAAGCACTCAAAATGCAAGAGGAAGTATGTTATTGATCTTTACAATATATGTTTACGACGCATCCTTGAATATATTTGACATAACTAGTTTAAATTGTTTAAAACCATTATTATTTTTCTTCACATAGGCTGGCGAACATATTAGTGATACTTTAACTAATCTTGGAAATGTATATCATAATTCCAATCAGTATGATTTAGCCTTAAATTGTCATACGCGTGCGCTTGCCTTACATCAATCCAGTCAAACACCAGATTCTGCTGCTATAGCTTCGAATCTAATTGGCATTGCCAATACTCATTGGGCTCGCCGTGAGTATCCTGAAGCGATTGATCATATTCAACGAGCTTTGACCATACGAGAAAGTTTTGTACCTCCGAATAAACCAAGTATAGCGGCAACTATCGCGATACTGGCAAGTATTTATCAAGATTGCGGTAATATTGGTCTTGCTATTGATCTATCTAAGAAAGCACTTAACATGTTCGAAAGTTTCCCATCGACTGATCCGTCAGTATTAGCTGATCTACATTATGATTTGGGTACAATGCAGATAAGTACCGATTCATTCGAAGACGCCTATCATAGTTTCGAAAGGGCAGTCAAAATTTATAGTAAAATTCTACCACAAGGACATCCAGATCGTGTAGCGGCGGAACGCGATCTACAAAGAGTTTTTGATTTACATAAAAAGAACAAAACAAATAAATGAAAATATGTGTAAATTTATGTTTTTCAAGGCTGCTTTGCAATTTTAATTATTAATAACAACTACTGATATTTAACGAATATGCATATGCGGCAGCGGAATGCGTGTTTTTCTTTGAATTTTGAATTTCATCAATCCATTTTTATTTTTACATATGTTCTTTTTTGTTGCAGAAATAAATTTTTTCTCTAAAAGACAAAAAAACAATTATTTGAGTGTACGATCTATATATTAATAGTGATTATTTTCTTTGATTTCCAAATGTGTTATAAGAACAGCAGAACCAAATTATGTTGTCAAGTGAAAGATGGTGAATAAAACGTTATTTTACTTAAATGTGTTTAGGTTTTCTTTTCTTGTTTCAAAGTAAGAAATAGAACTAAAATTCATCGAGCAATCGATGTTGAAGATTACTGTTTTTGCGACGTATATATATATTTAATTCAACGAATATTAATTTTAATGGAATTAAGTCACAGTATATAATAGAAATCAGAAAACTTGCCAGTTGAAATAGCTAGAATATATCAAACGTGAGCGTGACTTTTTCTCTGTTAAAATTTACATAAAGATAAAGTTTTGCTTTTCATAGCTTGCATCAATGGATGGCATGCCGTTTATTTCAACAAAATAAAGAGACTTTACTTAATAGATGATCGATATAATATAGTTTCTTTATGTGCAAGGATGAGCTCATGGTAGAGATTTTATTAATATTTTTTCAACGATAGCCATATTATATAAATGTATTTCGTATTTTTCTCGACTAAGTTTTGTTGTAGAGGTTTGTGCTTAGTCTCTTAAGATTCACTTTACAATTTCCAACTAACACGCATCGCAACGTTTGATCCAAACTTTCAATTAAAACAAAAAGATCGAACCCATCGGTTAAAGTCATTATGCCATAAATCATTGAACTAGTGAACTTCATATTGATTTCTAATTTCAAAGTTGAAAACAAGGGGATATATATCAATAAAAGAGGCCAAATTAAAAAAACTAGTACTTTAAAATATATCAATTGTAATTAATATGTTCACTTTCGAAAGTTCTCTAAATGAATAATTCTTATTTGCAATAGGCAACAAATCATGACTTAACTTGCCTATTTAATCTTTGAGGACATTTGGTGAACATTTTTTTTCTGACAAGAAAAACTATTCACAAGTGTAAGTTGGAATTCAGTTTGATCATAAACTTTTTTCAATCCTCTTTTGTCAATATTGACATTTCTATATTTACATAGATTAACGACCAATAACGAAGGACATTTGTTCTTGCTCAACAAACACAACTTAGTTAATAAAGAAGATACAAACGTTGTTGTCAAACAGTGAAAGAGGTCAAATTTATTTCACGAGAAAGTATTTTTAAATTTTATACCGTACGGAAGTTATCAAAAAGTTGGCATGCAATTTAAAAATAGTCTTTACTGTTTACTTTTTACGACTAGCAATTTGTTTTTGTGTTGAAATTTGAACAACTAATACAAGCACAATATTAGTCTATGTCGTCTAACTGAAAATGTCATTACCGTATAAATATTTGAATTAGATGGAGTGAAGCGTTTTTTTATTGTTCTCTCTTTACGGGAAATTTTCTTTTCTTTTTCTTTTTCTGAATTATGTTAATTCATTAGCTCTAAGTTGTCTTAGTGTATTTATGTATTATATGAATAATTATATATCTGTATAATACAAATGACTAACATTTACAACAACATCTTGTTCTCGTTAGACTTAGGGACTAACAAAACATACTCTAGAATTTACATTTAAACAAGAAGGGTAGAATAAATAACATTGATTTTAAAAAAAGATAACAAACAGAAAAGAATAGGCCAAGGATTATTCATAGAACAAGTGTCAATTCCTATTGTATGTTACAGGAAGAATTTCGATTCAAGGTTCTTGCCTTATAACTACATTTATAAGGCAGAAAGTGAAAGACATTTAAATTGACCATGAAATCGAAGCTATTTTTTTTAATGGAAAAAAGGAACTAAAGAAAATATTTTAAATTTCGCTAGTATTGTCCGTGAAACGTTTTTGTTGTTGTTGTTGTTGCTGACGATAATATTGATGTCTGTTAAAATTTTGCTGTTGATTCATTCTCATCGACATTTCTTGAACTTCTCGTTCGTCATAAGCATATCGATCGTGATGTGGTTTTGTATGATCACCATCACGTTCATAAAATTTCATAGTGAAATTTGAGGTGCCACTTTCATCGCTAGTTGGATGTTGTTGAATATTGCCAGTTGGTAGACAATTTTGACTTGAACTTCGTCTGAATTCCATTTGACGAATATGATTCGAATTTTCATTTGGAATGTATTCAAAAGGTAAGTGATGAACAGGCCCATTTGAACGAATCGATTCACTTGCAATTCTTTGTTGACGTGGTAAAACAGTTGTATATTCAATAGTTGTTGCTGATGGTGGTAGTGTTGTTCCATCATTTTCAGAATTTGGACGAGTTGTTGAACGTTCGCGAAAACGTTCTTTTATTTTATCTCGATAAGTTCTTGGTTCTGCTCTTCGTTCTAAATTACTTTCTAAATGCCAATTATCATCATGTCCATTAAAATACTGTTGATATTCCTCATCTGTAGCACGGCGTTTGCAAAGATTACAATCGGAAAAAGATTTTGGCAATGAACGTCGATGACGATTAACGTCATAGCTAAGTGAAGACGGATCAATTGTACCATAACCTCGATAATTACCATTGAATGTTGTAGAACGAACACGATAAGGTATAGATGCATGATGACGATAATCTATTCCATCTAAACCACTATGATGAAGATCAAATTCACTTTTACTTTCGCGATTATATCGCTCTTTATTTTGAGCAAACGAAGAACTGGATAATGGACGATGAAAGCTTTGTGATATACTTGAACGATGTCGAGGTAAATAAGTATCATGTATAACAGCACTATTACCATTCGGAGGAGACAATGATGGAACAAGTTGAACACGACTTGACGTACCACTTGCATCCATATAAGGAGAAGATATATTTGTATTTGAAACATCTCCTAATGTTTTTTTTTGTTTACGACGTCGTCTAAAAAATGGGAAAATATTTTATTTCATAAATTCTATTCTACTTACTGTAATAGAAGTGCTAAAGCAACTATAAGAAGTAATAGAAGTATATACGCAAGTATAATTGGTATAACAATCCAAATATCTATGAATCAAAAATAAAATTTCAATAAACATAAACATGAATTTGTCACTTACTGGGTACACGTGTCCATCCAATTGATTGTAATCTCGTTCGAATTGTACTTATTGGAAATATAATATGTGGACTTGTATATGGCGATGGTCTATATACACATGGATCTGTAATTGAACACATTGGAACGGTGTAAAAATAAAGTAAATAATAAGTCGGATGATATGAATAAATAGGACTCGGTATAAATGTTATTTTCATTTTATAAGTCGATGCTGCTAATCGCTGTGTTGTTAAATTTCCATTTAGAGTTACATTTAAAATTGTTATACCATCTGCTGTAACACTTTCGATTCTTAGTTGATCATGATTTAATTCTCCATTAACAAAATAGAGAAAAGTTTTATGATTTGGTGCTGTATATATTATTGTAGAACAAAGTAAACGAACACTTTTTGATGGGTAATTTCTTGAATGAATAAAACCATAATCATTTGTTAATGAACTATTTTTACATATGTCAGATCTTGTTTGTACTTCATTTAAATTCCATGTTGGTACACAATGAAATCCAATTTCTGTAACTGCTTTAAAAGCGCATAAACTACGATCACGTATTTGATAAGCAGATATATCAGAACATTGAGGTCTTCCATTACATAATGAATTTATATAACGTAGATCATAATTATTACAAGCATGCAATGAATCAGATTGGCATGAGCTTGCATCAAAACCAAGACGTAATGGAAATGACCGAATATAATCAATAGATATGAGATATTTAGGAAGATTTGGCTGCCATGAACGACGATCTAATAATGATGGAATTTGAGGACATTCAAGTGATATTAATGAGTAACTGGGACATATTGTTACTGTTCGATTAGGTAAATCATATTCGAAAACTAAAAAATAATCAAGTTTATTTTTTACTTCAATAAAATAATAGGGAAAACTTTATCTTCTTACATTTAGCATCGACTACTAACGATGCTTTTTTTGTTAAGTTACAAATATTAATAATAAATATTAACAATAATAATAAATGAAATCGAACCATGTTATTGTCTCATCCTATAATTGTTTTTCTTGTATCACTCTATTAACCACTTCATTGACTAGCTGACCATCATGTTTTGTTATTACTTAATCGGTATGTGTCAATATCTTCATGTGCGTGTTCAATGCGAAATTATTTCAAAAAGAATGATCCTTCTCATAAAAAAAAAGATAAAGATAAATAAAATAAAAAGAAAGGATATGTAAAGACGAAAGGAAACATAAAGGGCGACGATATTTTGCTCATCTTCGCCCACACCCCTATAAACATCCACTCGCACATCTGTGTGCATGTTGTGTGTTCTCCTCATTACGTCGACATTTTAAATCAAACGACACCCGATGAAATAAAGAAGTGAAGACTAATCTTTTTCAACGGGATGAAGTGCACCGATGACGAAATAACAACGATAAATCATTAATAGTGTTTGTACTATTATATAGAATAGTGAGTAACACTAGAAGGATAAAAAAGATTTGTAAAAGTTAATTGGACTTGTCATTGACGTGCTCGAAGATCATTTATTATTTTCTCGTATTCATTGTCAATAAAATAAAAATTTAGGTTTAACCGTTTACGTTTCATTTTCTAAAATATTCGAAAATAAACTGTTCAATAATTTAACAAGAGATTAATCGTATCGTAATAGTAAATAACACTACTAGTATATGTCGATTATTTTTCAACTTCAAACGTTTTTTTTTCTCAATAGAATGGTTATATGACTGTTAACAGAAATATTTATTTTTACAATTTCATATGATATATTTGTTGTTCGAAACGTTAGAATAACAATTTTTCTGTAGCGAAAGAATCTATTAAATATATAAAATATAATAATAAAAGATCATTTTATTAAACAGAAATCATTGTCATCTAAAACTATTCAGTCACACTAAATTCAATAAGCTGCTTTTCGAATCATCATTGCGCCTACGTCAAGTTGGCTTGTCGAACTTTTCAGAGGAAGAAACAAGATCCCAAGTGATAAACAAACGATATTTTTCTGTTTTATATTGTGGTACCATTCAATGATTATTTTATTAGTTTCGACTATTTTTGACATTCAAAATATATTGATGACCGATTTAAATTTAGGAAATGTGATGTATTTCTATTGATAAGATACGTTACTTGTAATATTTTCAAGTTTATTTAAAACATAGAATGAAAATACGGCAAAATCAACTAAATAAAATTGAGTATTTTGTATCATTACTTGATAAATGTATGAGGATTGCTTTTCCTACAAGTATTTGATTGATGTTCTAATGAATAACAGCAAGACCAGTGCTGAATACCAATTGATGCTGTTTTACTCAAGTGAAAACCACATTTTAAATAAGAACAATCATTAAATACTGCATGCCATGTTCCAGCATGGACACAATGACCACCAGAATTCTCATTTATATTAAATTCTTGTCCACATTTTTGGCAAACATAAGTGGATGATATAATCGCAAATGTAGATCATTCTAAGTGAATACGATGAATTACATAATTAATCGTTCTCATTCGTTAGTAAAGTTTAAAGTCGATAAAGGAAAATAAAACAGTATTTTATGTCTAGCGTCACTAAATTTCCTTCTATATAGTAAATGTCTTACTTTTAAATCAGATTGTGCAATAAAATGAGGGTTTTCATTAGAGTGGAATTTCTGATCGTGTTGAGGATATCTTGTGTGATATATGCCATATTCTGGACACATAAATGTTCCGTAAATAGTTATTTCATTGCATATTGGATATTCAGATAAAAGCTAGAAAAGAAGATCAATCATTAGACATATAAAATCAACTTAATCAAACATGAGACTAATTGAATTTGTTAACTATACAGTGAAAATGCCTAGGAAGATCTTTTCATCATATGAGATGTCAATCGCACTCGCAAACTTCCATAATCCTGTTCTTGTTAAAATTTCTTTCTGTGATATCTGATTATTCGATCAGAAATGGATATGAATCTCGTATTTCGACAAAAATTAAAAATCGACAACGTATGATAATATCACTAGCAGATCGAAGTCTTTTTTTAATTACCTTCCATAATTTATATTCATTCATTGGTTTCATGTTGTCCAAGAAACGTTTTGATACAGCTCGCCGTTGTATCGATGATAAAATATCTTCGTCTTTGTTTGAACTCCAATGATCAATATTGGCCTGTACGATTGGACCATGTTCAATAAGTGTACATCTTCAAACAAACAAAACAAAGAAAATCTATCAGAACAAAGATTTACTTTTTCAATTTTTACTAACCTATTTTCTTCAGATGTTTGTCTGCGAGTTATTAAAGTTCCAAAAGTCTTGCATTGACTTGTTCCACATATAGTAAAATAGCATGGTGCAATTATTGGTGTTTGTGCTAATTGTTCAACAGCTAAATCATACGTATCTATTGATTCTAATATTTCACGTACAAGAAAACCAATAGACCAACCGCTAGAAAAATAAAAGCACATGCAAAGAAATGTTAAACTGCAATTTCTAATAGAATAATTATATAATAGATGACACATAGAGAATGAAGAACTTTTGATCTGTCTTTTTCAGGTTTTGGGTAAGTCTTTAAAACAAATCATTCGTAGACACAAAAACACGGAGAATTTTCTGTTCTACAAAAATATAATACTCTTAGTCAGCAAACACTGTGGTTTCCTGTACCAAGGCAAAATAAAACGATCTACAAAAGTTATCACAATATCCTATAGCATCTTTTTCAAGTTTATATATGTCCACTTGAGTTTGTTTAATAGAAATCTTTTTTATTTTTAGTCGAATGCATCTGTGAATACATTTTCATCATGCTTTAAATTCACTCAATTGCGATGCTTAGTTGGTTTCTGCAATATATTGATATGAAAAGGAGTTTTATTAGAAAATAAAATTCTCTTTGAAATTCATTTTAAACAACAAAAACAATAATCGTTTAACTTTCTTCTCAAACGTGAATCTCGGTACACTTTTTATGACAACTTTTTTCAATTTAATATCATGTTTCAACACTCGCTACATTTTTCCTCTTAAAATTCAATATTGTTTAGTCAGCCGAGGAGTCAATGCATTTTTCTCACCTTATCAAACATGATATTTAATTATTATAATAAAATTTTTGGTAAAAATTCAAATTTCTCGGTCTAGGAATTCACACGGAATAATATACTCAGGCTTGACGAAGATTTTTGTCTATAGATATACAGTTACTATTGGTACACCGTTTTATAGGAATTTTCAAAGTTGTTCTCCTTTCTTTTTTTGTGGGTATAAAGAAAAGATGGTTTTTCTATCAATAGACCTATAGCCTTGTAGAATAGAAAATTTCTAACGATCTTAAAAAACAACAAATGTCTCAGTTTTTAGGCATCCTTCATAATTTTACCTTGCTTAAGCGGTTTTGAGATTTGTTGTCAATTGTCCGCCTGCATGTCGAAAATTAACCGATACAGAATAACCGTTTTGAACTCTCATTCCTGTTAAAATTCCAACATAGCCAATCCATGTTGTTGCTTTAAAAACGGTTTGATCATTCTCTTGAAAATCAACATCTAAACACATAAAAAAGCATTGCTAAATAAATTTAAAAATATCTGATTCAAAAATTAACTAAAATTCTACAATATTTGCAAGATATATATATATATATATATATATGTATACCGATGGTCAATGGTTTCAAAAAGTCGAATTCCCAATCCATGGTTCTAATATGCATTGGAATATTGGTTTGTTCATCTTGACACACAAACGACGTACAACATGCAAAACATTCATAAACAAATTGCATCATTACTAGTCTACCTAATGGTATTCCAGTATCGTTTGAGAGACCTTTCAATTCTTGCCCATAATAAACTAGTCCCAATCGTGTTATACCGACCATAATTGTTGATAGGACTTTTTCAAGCATAGGACCTATGTATTGACCAAAAATTTCATCTACCATGGATTCGATCTTTTTCTCAACTTCATGAAGTTGATCTGCATATAGAAGACGTACGATATGTTGCCATCTCAATGCTGGAGGCATATCAAGGTTAACGACGAATCGTGGAGGAGAAGATACATCGCAAGGAACATACATATGAACGAGGACATTATTCTGAAACAAAGCAATGAAACAGCTATTACTCAATAAATAAATATTTCGATTGACACCATTTATTTTCTCCGTTAATTACATAAAAAAATATTTTTCAATTAACCATTTTCTTTTCTGAGTATTTACTTTCTGATGATTATTTGAATGAAAAAGAAATCATTGCGACAATCAATATATTCTAAGAACAAAAACAACTTCAACTATGGCAATAATTAAGAATAAGAAAAACAATAAAGATGATTGCTTAACTTTTTTATTGATATTGAAAACAGCTCTCAGCCAGTAAGTTTTCAAGAATACTGGAGTAATAAATGATACGATATTCAATGTAATGTCACCATAAATGAGTGTGGGTGTAAGTGTGCTTCGTCTGTTTTATACCAACCTACACCCACACCCACACCCACACCCTCGACTTGGTAGAATCGGAGTTAGAGTTGAAGTTCAGTTTTTGAAAATAGGAGCGAAGTTATCCAGAGTTGAAGCGATACATATACGAAGTGCCCATGTCTGACAAAGAAATATACCACAATCAGCAAATCGTTTTATTTCTCAAAAGATAACAAAATCAATGATCGTGGTGCATCACAATATTCCTGAATTACACCGCTAATTCTTCTTCACTCATTCAAAATGAAGAGCTTATATGGATCGATCTTTAATAGTAGTTTTTAGATTGGTAAGTCCCAAGTTGATCAATCTTTGCAAGTTGGTTACATTTACATACAAGTAAAAATAAAACAAAATTGTGGTTAAAGAGATATTAATATATAGAAATGGAGATAATGAGAGTTTGATTTTATATCGAAAATAAGCGTTTCAGAAAACTCTAAGTTATTAATAAGAAAAAGTGATTACAATAAGTGGTATGCTATGATTTGATCAATATTAAAAATACTTAATTATATTTTCAATAATTTTTTATTTATGTTAAGATAATGCTTTTTTCACTAACATATTCAAAAATCAATTTTTATCACATGTGATTGGAGCTATTAACAAAAACGAAAGTTTTACAACTGATGAAAATAGATTTATATTTACTGATATCTTTAATTAGTTAATCAATTTATAATCTTTATATTTTGATACGTCTTCTGTCTATTATCAATGAATATCACTTCCAAACATTTTCTCTTCAACTTTGCGACGATTACATGTCGAAATAATATTTGTTCACAATTGTCTTTCGTTTACACTGATGAACATTTCAATCAAATTCCATATGTTCTGTATTAATATAGAATCATCAATTGATTATTCATTGTCGAAAATAAATAATAAAGTATGCGTTTAGAAATTTCTAATTTATTGAAATAAATTATTAAAATTTATCAGTATATGTTTTATTTTCATAGAAGAAAACTACCAAACCTAAGAAGTTTCTCATTTTCTTGTGCTTAAGAAATATATTGTTACGATGAAATAATTATGCCAATTGTACATTGAATATCTACTCTAGAAAAACGTCTTTTGCATTTTCACGTTTCTCGCAAAACAACATTTATTGATGAGGATAATTTGAAGGAGAACATTATCAATCATATGTTATTATTCAATAAATTTACATTTAATACGCGTTTAGATGCATCAGTTTTTCAATGGTAAGGACCTAAGAAACACAAAAACAAAAGAAGAAATAATCAACTATTTTGTTTTACATATCTGTCGACATATATTCATTCTTATTATACATGTTTTGAATATACTTATCTTAATATTCAATCATTTATTCATTATTATTAACATATGCCTAATGAAAAATTCGAGTCTTATATAAATTTACTTTTATTTTTGAACAATTCTCTTTTATCCGAAGTAAATAAACAGAAACTATATCTAGTAGAAGTCTTTGAAATTAAGAACCATGAGTTTGTTATATTTTCGACTTTCAAATGACGCAAAAGGAATAAGAACAAATATTGACATGTTCAGTGAAAAAAGCACAAGCTAAAATATATACAACAAGTATCATGAAGGAATTTATTCCAAAAAAAGACCATAGAAACCCTTTATTGGCTGTGTCAATGCACAATTAAATATAGATACCCATGGAATAATAAAGAAATAATATCAGACGACACAGTAACAAATAAAATAGATTAGGGTGTGAGTATATAATATACAAGATGATTATATTTTATAAGAAAATCCAGTCTAAGAAGATAAGTATAAGTAGCATAGTAATCTATAGCAGCATCAAATAAAAATGGAACAGTGCCAAATTGTATGAGTGAGTACATGGAATGATATCATAACAAATTAAAGAGAATATTACCCACGGTAAAGAATAGATCACCGATAGCCAATTCAAATACATCAGTATGTTCGGACTTTAAATTAATAAATGAAAGAAGAAAATAGTCATTTCTATCTTTCATGATATACACTCTGATAAGAAATACCTAATACTAATATAACACCATTATCCAAACCAATGCTACAGTTAATTCTATTGAAATTGCTTGAGTATGACGAAGAAGAAGCTTACAAGAATTCGAATTCGAATTCGAATCGAAACCTATAGATATTTATCAACAGTTTTTATCATTATGTATAGCTAACACTGATAAAAATGGATATAATTGTTCGATCAACTCGATGTAAAAAAATATTTCAATTGATTATATTCCAAAAGAAATAATTCCTTCATGCCTATATGTTAAATAGAAACATGAACAATGAAAAAAAGTCGAAATTGAAAAGAGAAAAATGGGAATATTACCTTAGATAGTACTACTCCAATATTGTGCCGGTGTTTTTGCATGAAATATGATATAGAATGCATTATTAGTCGTTTCTGAAAAAATGATTTTTAATAATGGCAGTATAACTTCTGCAGAATGAATAGTTTATTTAATTTTCTCTGCATTTAATCTGTTTTCTGTAAAATTGATATTCTACAGGAAAAAACAATCAAAGAAGAAGAAGATAAGACAAATGTAAAGGATAGTAATGATGAAGAAAGTCTGATGTTTCAATAGACAGACACATGTTGTATGTATCACGCAATAAGAGATAGAAAGGAGAACGTGAATGAGAGAATAAAGACATACTCATACATGTGTATATACAAAAAAAAGATGTTTAATGATAATTGTTCTGTTACATATCATGTAAGCCTTATTGAAATTGTTGAGGAAAACGACCAGCTGCTTCGTATGTCTTCGGATGAATATATGTTGTTTGTTGTGATTGTGATGGTACTTGCTGAATTGAATCAAATGTAAGACTAGATGCAGCGTTCATTTGAGGAGATTCATTAGTTTGAAGTAATGGAATTTGTTGTGGATTAGGAATCCATGTATTAGGTGTTTCATAGGTATAAGCAGTTTGTATAACATTATTTGATGTATATTGAAGTGTACGCAGTGGAAGACCATCACAATCAGCAACTGATTGACCTAAGGTTAATGTTGGTCGACTAGTATTATTTGGAAGACCAATTGATGAAGTTTGTTGTAGATGGAATATTTTGTCGACTACCATAACCATATTGTTGATGTGTTGGCTGATGTTGTTGTTGATATTAAAGATTTGGTTGAGTTGATTGCCAATTAGGATAAACACTTGATGAATTAATGGTTGCTGATGAATGCGAATCGTACGTACGTGGATCTTAAGAAATAAAGAATAAATAAGATATATTTGATTTTAATTAACTTCACCTGGATAAACTTCTGTATAATGAAATGAAGACCGATCTGGAGTAGCTGGTCCTCCTGTTGATCCAGCTGATGGAATCAGTATATTTTGAGGTTGACTAAAAGTTGTAGCTACTTGAATGAGACCTGGCGTATTAGCAGGATGGTAAGTAGATAGAGTTTGTGGTAGTTGCATAAGTGGAACAGCTGCTTCAGTTCGATTATAAAAATAATTAACTGAAAAAAAAGAGAACAAACATACTTACGTTGTGTTACACAATTAGGTGGATAATAAGGAGTTTATGAAGCACCAGATATTTGTGGTTGTTGTGGAATATTTGACTGTCCTGAACATTGAACAGAAGCAGCAGCATTTCTTGTTCGACTGTTTGTAAATAACATTATCGATTTTTGTGCCAAAACTGACGATTAAAATTTGTAATCGAACCATTTTTCTGAAAAAATCAAGAAATACTTTAGAAAATTTAATTTCTAATATTCAAATAAAACTTACTTTTTCTTTTTATTATAATAATCGTTGATGTTTATTTGAATAGATTCAACATATTGATCTGTGTGCATTTCGACGACTAAGAAGTCGGGAACATTAATAAATTTGCATTGTATTGCAAAATGATCTATTTGATAGAATGTTAAATTCTAAAAGAAAAAGAAGAAATTTTTTCAAAATGAAATTGTGCTCTTACTTGTTGTTCTTTAACAACTGAAAATTGTTTTATGTTTTTCATTATATAATTGAATATTAACTAAAAATTGAATGAACCACTCGTCAGCATAATGTTTCATGTGTTAGATTTTATATGTTCTTCGCAATTTCATAGGCAATTGATTACTACCGTGTGCTACCATCTGTTGCTCGAAATTTTCATTGTTGATTTATTTCTATCCAATGAAACTACTTTATCATTGACACGAAAAAAATCCTTGTTAACAACAACGCGTTTTTCTAGTCGATACACGCACTCATTTATTTATATAGAAACACACTACGGTATTAGCATAACAATTTTATGTATCGTATTGAAACACTAAACTAAGATAGAAATAAATTGATTTAATAAAATTTTCTTGGCTTTGCCTTTCTTCCTTTTCCTGCACAATTAAATTCAAATAAATAAATAAAAACAATGACAACCTATGCACCTATTCAACCTCGTCCAATTTTAAGCAAGCCATTAACAGCAAACAGTGTTCAATCTTCATCGATTTTTCTTGTACCATCATCAACATTAACAAATACAAATTTTTATCAAACAAACACAGATTTCAACGTCAACAATGCCTCTCAAATATCTTCGTTGCCTTCGACATCATTATCTCCTTATGAAGAATTTCTTAAACGACTCCGTGAATTTCATCGAGGTCGTCAGTGAGTATATTTGTTTTTTTTTATCTAAAAAAAATAAAAGTTGATTATTCTATTTCTAGAACACCACTTCGTTCTTTGCCAACAATAGCTGGCCAAATAGTTGATTTACATTTATTATATAATACAGTCGTTGGTCATGGTGGTTGGGATAAAGTCAACGATCGACATTTATGGTCCACTGTTGCCAGTCAGTTTTCTATTGATGAGTCGTGTCTTAATGGTACACAAGCTTTAAAAAATATTTATATTCGGTAACGAATAAACAGAAACGACCAATCATGTTTTATTTTATTTTATTTATTTTTATTTAAAATAGATATTTATATGCTTTTGAAAAAATAAGTAATGGAGAAAATATCGATTCACGCGATGATGAAAATGAAGATTCAAAACGGCGTACAGTTTCTCATTTACAACGTGTACCACAATCGTATAATGTTACTCAACATATTGTTTCTGGTAAGAAATCTTTCAATTTTTAGTAAAATATGTCATTTCTCTTGGGATTTTGGTTCGAGAATCGAAGATGATAACCTACACCTAACATATTTGAACCCTTTAGTGATAAGATTAGATCTAGTTCTATCAATGAATAGACACATTGCAAACAAGAATTGCCAGCGGAAGTTTAACTTTCTTATGATAAATCATTATTAATAATAGTTTCAGTAGATGAACAACTAAACAAATTCTTTTTCATCATACCGTATTGTTGATGAGAATTCATCAAAGTACAGTTCATTTTCAGCTTGTAATATTAATTGTCCCAGAATTCTTCATTGCATTTTCATTAAAATTATTTTATATTTCCCAGTTAATTATTAGAATTAATATAATGACTAGTGTCAATAGCTATTGGTGATGATAGAATGTATTGATAATTAAAAAGAACTAGACAACTGTTTAGTTCTAATGATTATCAAAGAAAGATTTTTCTGCTAACATGTTTGATAATTAAAACATAGGCGATTGTAACTACATAGAAAAATATTTCTTCATTGAAGTGTATTTGAGTATCAGCTATAAATTTTATTTTATATTTAAATTACAATTTTGTTTTCTGTAGATGCACTACGTATTCAAAATGGTCTTTTCAATGATTTTGTCCATCGAAATGAATATGAAAAATTAGAATTAGCATTATTATGTGGTTTTCCAAATGAATTAACATTTACATTAAATACTTTGTTACTTCTTTCATCGTCATCCAATCATACAAAATCATTTCATTTATACAAATGTCCACGTGTATTAGATTTACTTTTTCGACATATTGGACTATTTTTACCGTCGGATACATTGATTCAGGATCATTATTTAAAAACCTTATATGAAGATCTTTGGTCAAAACATTTAAATTATCATATGGGTTCATTTTGGATTGAGTCATGTTCACCGAAAATTCTTAAATTACTCTTAAATATCGATATTGACAATCAGAAAGCCAATCCTTACCAAAATTTTAATTTTAATTCAACAGAAAACCAACGTGAACAAGAATTTCGTATTGAACAAATATTAATGATAATACGCAATCTTTCATTTGATCGTTTAAATGCGTTATATTTACTTGATACAATACAATCAACCGTATCAATAACCTATATATTTTTATTATTGATTTCCTATTGCGATAGTAAAATTGAATTACAAAAATATGCTCATGATATTTGGACAAATCTAGCTATATATATGCATTTACGTACAATAAGTAGTGACGAAGGTTTATTATTTCGACAATTATTAAATTCTATGTTAAATGGCGATGATGATCAACAACAACAAGAAGATCGATTAAAAATAATTCGAGCATTAGAAATTATTACTAATTTAGCTCGAGCTGGAAATGACAATGGAATTTATTTAGTTGATTATATTGATACTATTGTTAAAAGTCTTATACATATACCTGATATACTAATCTTAGTACATTGTTTAGAATGTTTATATCAATTATCAGAATCAGGTAAGTTTATAGAAATTTACAAACGCAAACTACAATAGATCCTATCGAAGAATTGATTAATTGAACGAATCTAATAGTATATTAAACGAAAGAGATGGAAAATACTTTTGCTTAGTATCAGTATAATTTGTTGTTAATAAAAACTATAAAATCTAAAAATATATGTAAGAGTGTTGAGCATTATATTATGTTGGGGTGAAAACAATTTAAAAAATGTACATCATTATTGATTTTCCATATATTTGATTTCTTAGATATGAGATATCTTAATTAAATTTTGATGAAAAATTTATGCAAAGACATCATAATTTTTCAGGATTCATCATTGATATCGAATGGGATATTTAGTTGCCACATAAAATTACAATCATAAAAATAGATTTAGACAAAAGCTATGAGAACAATTCGTTTGTGATAAAAAAAAAGTGTCGAATATGAAATATCTTCTGTAACTAACACAAAGACATATGTGACCAGTCGACATAAAATCAATCGTTGTATGTACTCGATAGTCTGTTCGATTCATTAGCGTATTTGAAATTCATTTTAGTTCACAATGCTTAGTTTACTTACTAACTTCGGGGATTTCCTTTTTTACTAACTTATAACAATACTAAGTAGTTAGCTTTCACTTTCACAGTTATCTTCATTATGAAGGATATGGCTTGAGTAGTTTTGTCCTACATTTTAAAACTGGTTTTCATTCATTTCTAGTGGGTTATTCTAAAAATTTATCCATTTGTTATCAAGATAATAGAAATCAATATTGTTTTCAATTTCCAAATGTTTACGTTCCAAAACCAATTAAAAGCTAAGCGATTAGAATTTTATTGGTGTGTTTGAGTTATTATCAATAATGATCATATTTATTATATTCTAATCATATATTTAAATACAACTCACTGTTTTTCTTTCACATTCCTAATATATTTATTTTTCTATCGAACATTTAACAAGATGAAGGTGTTTTCTGTTCTTATAAATATGTTCGATTTTGTTTTCATAGGCGAACAATTATGTGATGCAATACTGAAAGTACAATCATCTACATCAATAATCACAACATTAATTGATTTATTAACAATCGAAGCACGAAGTTTTTCGTCGGACACAATAAAAACTATAAAACTGATAGAAATGTCTTCAGGTCCAGCATTACTTCCATCGTATCATCAACCACCAATAGCACCACAATCAATTGTTGTTTTATCTTCGAATCAAGCACAACAACAAGCACAACATCATCAAATATATCCAATTGAAAATTATGATATGAATAAAAATAATGCCCGAATTCTTATTCAACAAAATTCAAAGCCAATAACATTAAGTGGTCTTCTTTCATCAGGGAATCTTTTATCCGTTGCCGCGACAACATCAACACAAAATCCATCAGTTATTATGCCAAAAAATACAAATATTCACATAAATGATAAAAAACGAAAATATGATTGTAATTTACTTTTGAATTTTATTTCTAAAATATTTTTCTATTAAACAAATTAATACTTTTAGGTATTACAGAATCAATGACGACTTCTATTAATGACATTTTATCTTCATCAAAAATTTCTCGTCCAGCTTCGATTCTATCAAAACCTCCTACGAATGAAGTCTCGAGCTGTGATGAAGTCAATCATACAGCTAATAGTATTCAATTGACAATGACTGATATACTCGATCATTGTTCATCTCTATCGTATGATAGTGACATTGTTTTATGTTTAAATGATTTATGTCAACGTGTTGTGTCCATGGTTGACCCGTTGGCATCAGATGTTAGCAATCCAATGTTATCACCGAGATTCAAACGTAAAATAGAAACATCGATAACCAAAGAAATCAGTCATATTGATGAACAATTACAAATCAAAAGTTCTGATCAAATAACAAAACAAAAATCGTCGATAGATAATTTATCATGTGGAATTATTGTCACAGAGAAAAAAGGAGAACCAATAGAAAAAGAATTATCTGATGGTAAATTACAGATTTCAACATCGAATGTTATAACAACAACAGGAACATCTGATTATTTTTGTGATTGGGATAATTGTAGAGCGTAAGAAAAATTAAAAAGAAGTTTATCTTGTTTTTCTCTAAGTATGTTGTTTTGTTTTCATTTCACATATTAGATCTTTTGCTACGGCACGAGCAGTTTTTCATCATACTTGTTCAGTTCATGTTAAACATTCATCTGATTATGTATGTTTATGGAATGGGTGTGATCGATTAAAACGACAAAAATGGGCCTTGATCAATCATATTCAAGTAAATGTCTTATTGAGAAAATATTTTATCTATTTGATGTTTTTCTCCAAATTTATTTATAGGAACGTCATTGTTCAGAAGTTGCATTTCGACAAGCAAAACTTAAATTGACAAATCCTGCACTCTCCACAACTGTTAATACAAGTACAACATCATCAACTATAATCAATAATAGTAATCGTATATTGACATCTGGATCAGTTGGATATACATCTGATGCTGCTTGGTTTGCCATTCGACGCTATATGCAAGCAAATTCATTTGATGACCAATTAGTAGGTTTTTCTTGTTTTTCTACTTTATTGAATATTTATTTTAATTTAATAGAACAAAAATAAGGAAGGTCCATTAACAAAAAGTATTCGTTTAACAGCTGCACTTATTTTACGTAATATTGCTCGGCATTCGTCGATTGGAAAACAGTAAGTCAAATCGATAAACAAATCAAATTTGAAATCTGCAATAATTCATTTAGAAATCTTCGTCAATATGAACAAATTCTTGCTAATTTAGCTCTTGAATCGTCTGAAGCATCGCATACACTTAGTTCATGTCTATTTGAACTTTGCAATTAATAGTTTGTAGGATTTATGTTTCTTGTTGTAAATACATTGTGTTTATGCTGTATTTATTCTCTTCTTGTTATCATGTGTATGTTCTTTGACTTTTTCTCTGTGTTGTGAACAATGTAAAAACGTGCTATGGTGTAGGAAATGAAAAAACTTTTCATAAAAGAATATTCAATTTTTTATTATTATTAAAGCTGTAAGTACTAATTACAAATATATCAATGACACTAGTATAGAATTTCTCTATCGTTTAAAAATAAATTGCCTTGATGATTCATCTCATTAAGACAAATTTGTATCTGACATTATAAACAGTAGATATGAATACTCTAATTTTGTCTTGCATGATTTGACTATTTCTAATTTTTCATTCCAGTACAACCAATTAACTTGAAAATTTTTATAACAAACAGAAGGCATCCAAATTGCACAGAAGTTAAAGTTTTCGCGATTTTCTCAAGAAATCGCGTTTTTTTTGTCTATAGAACTGCGTCTTGTCAACTTGGTCATATTTATGGAATTTGATCTGTTTGAACAAGAATTTTTGTTACCGACATTCCAAGGTACTATGCGAAAATAAAATAGACTCTTATTTACCTACTTTTAAAAGTATTTATGAATAGAACAAGTCTACAGACCAATTTTCTTTCAAAGTTTAACACATCTCGGTAATTAAAAGAGTTAAATTTATGAAAAAGCTTAAAGTATGCTATGTTGTATATTTCATTCTACATACATGTCAATATATTCAGTTTGATCGAAGATGGTTTGACGAGAATCATCATGGATAGCAACATACAGTTCTATGATAAATTGAACTAATGACGAAAGAGTCTTTGTTTACGATTCCTATCTCTAAATATAATTCTGTTGGCACGAGACACTCTGTATGTATATTAAACTGTACTAGCTAATCACTTGCACAGTGCTTTATCATCACAAATCTTGAAAACGAATAGGAAAAATAAGTTTAATCGAAACAAATTGAACTGTGCTAATTTTGCAAAATGGAACTATTATATTTTATGAACATTGAATTGGCACAAAGAACAATAGATATTGATGCTTAAAAATAATTTGTACAATTTTAAAACTAGTTCAAATGTTGCAATGAAGGAAAGATAGCTAGTTTATAGTTTATAATTCAAAATTTCAATTCACTCGTGATGAACTTTAACAACATGATTCGACAAGATTTAGCATTGTATTTGTGCTTCTAAAACATTAGTTGATAGAATTTTCCATCAAAATTCTAATTGAGAAGGCTTGAACTAGATAAAAAGCTACAAATGAAAATATATTTATTTAAATAGAAATTTAGATTAACATCTCACAGCTTTATGAGCTTTAGTCATTTACCTAATGTCTATTTTAAATATATACGCATAGAATTGTCAATCAACATCATCCTAAGACCACCGAAGAGTACCTATCAGAGCATCAACCAGGCCACTAGGCCTGCCTGCTTGTGACAGGCACAGGCCATGATCCTGAGACCAGGCAGGTTTGAAATGCAAAGGCCTGTCACGGACCGGCTAGGCCTACAAAAACACGGTCTGGTTGGACCTCTGGTTCCTATGCTTACACTTTAGAAATAAAAAAAAACGATAGGCGCCCAAAAACAAATTACTTATATCAGACTAATAAGAAATATCCTAACAATTTTATATCGCCCACATATATTATCTGCATTGTTTAAAAGCTATCAGAACGATATTGTACTACATATGCAAATACTATTGGAACTGTCTCATATTTATTTTTATGCATCATCTAAATTTTCTTTTGAATATTGATTCTCCTTGATAATGCTCCATGAATTCTGCAAACTACGTAAATAACAATAAAACTGCGCAACAAACAAATGCTGCTATCAATAAAACAATATCATCACCGTCAAGTCTACATCAAGGAACAAATATTGCAGCAGTATATCTGAATTTATACGATTTAGGTGGCTGTATCAATGCTTGTGTTCATTCGGTTGGTTTATCTTATTATCACTGTGCTTTACAAGCACACTCCGCTGAATATGGGTAATCAGCATATAACATTATAGAATGCATTGTTCATTATTTTTCTTTGTAGCTATATGGGACATCCTTTTAAATTCACTGGTCTCTATAAAACATCGAAACATGATTCACGTTTTCATGTATATCGATTACGTGATTCTATTGAAATTGGATGGACATGGTTTAGCGAGAAAGAAATCGATCAAATAGTTCATGTTCTTAAACCTGTCTATTTGGGTTTGGATTATCACACAGTAAATAAAAATTCAATACATTTTGCTAAATATCTTCTTGAACAACTTGCAAATGATTCACAATTGAAACATATTGAACCGATAAAAATTATAAATTTTCCATCTTGTAAGATATCATTGTGTGACATGATTTATTTATCATCTTAATATAGATATTAATCGAAGTCGTCGTTTAACTGATACTTTAAAATTTTTAAAAATATTTGACAGAGAAAGCGATATTGCTGAAATAAATATTCTTTATTTTCTCTACATGAACTACGAAGGTAATATGAAACAAATTTGTCATATCCTTCAATGCGATACAATCGATAAGGTATTGATATTAATTATACATAGTTTCATAGTATTATTTACTCGTATTAGTTGAAAAGATATGTAGAATTAATCGAACAAGGTATTCAACTAAAGAAACTTCCCATATTTTCAGCTCTTACTAAATTGAATTTGAAAACAACACAAGATTATTTGAATACTATTGATCAACGTAATTATGATGTTGCTACATCAACCAATGAACAAGTAACATTAACTGATATCTTTCATCAATTTGATAGCATTACATTGCGTGGTCGTACAAGTATTGACCGATATCTTAATATTCAACGAACAAAAGAATTTACTCAGCAGTTTCAGAATGAGAATGTTCTAATTGATCGTCGAAGTATTCCATTCAATCATCAACAAGAATTAGATTCATCGCATAGTGTTGAAATTCCACAATTAACCAATCGAAATGGATTAGAGATCTTTTCAAAAGGTACAGATTCAATAAAACAAAATCAACCAATACAAAAGTCTTGTAAGTCATTCATGAAATAGGATGGAAAGAATAAAGCAAAAATATCTACTGCCTATTAAATAATCATTTATTTTATTCTTTAGATACAATATTTCCTCCTATTCATCGAACCTCATTATCTCATTCTAAGTCTCAAAATCAAGTTCGAACACCTTCGACATCACCATCTGGATCACATATTTCAGAAACAATAATGAAGTCAAACGAAAACGCCAGTTCTCTTTCAACACATGTCACAAACATCATACCAACTAGTCCAGTCCTGTTCGATCCAGTTTTTAGGCTTGAAAATTTACTCAAGCGTTCAGTTGTTCCGATTGAAACTATACGTTGTCTACAAGAAAAATCTAGTCGTGTAAGAATAGTCGAAAACTCAATTATATTGGTAACTTTCGAATATTTCACTATTAAGGATTTTCCATTAAACGAACTTTATCTAACAACCAATGATGATCATAATATGTTTTCATTGATTACTCGACGACAACGAAAAAATTCTTATTCATTACATAAAAGAAAATTACCACGTGATCTCGAATTAAATAAAAATTTATATATAATTACCAATCAAAATTCACTTTTTCATAATTATACAAATAATTCAAAATCAACAATTTCTTCATTTTCTCAATGCTAACAATCTGAAATGGATATATTTTCGGTACACGAAATGCAAATTGCCGACATTAATAATTCAAGTGTTTAAACAAGAGAAGTGCATTGAAAAAAAAGAGCAATAAATTATTCCAGTGACCTTAGCCGTTATTTAAAAATATATTCATTAAAGCAAATGCTGTAATGTGATTTTGATATCAGCGCCAAAAATAATCTCCTTCGAACATTGATACTATTGCCTGACTCAGAAATCGACTAGGGAATAATTAAGTATCAGAAAGATTATTCTCTGACAAATCTATCACAGGAATGATTTTTTTCCAACTGTATTACAGAATCACACACAAAATAATCTCACCTATTACGTGTTAACTCTTGCATCATTGAAGAAAAGAATTTTTATTTTTATCACAGAATAGAATATTGAGAATGTTTTTCAGAATATATATTATCATACGAAAACAATGTTTCTGAATGTGTCATTTATTGTTTTTTCAAGGTCGAAGTTTATATCGATAAACCAATAACAATTTAGACCATCATCATATCAGATTTGTCATCTTTAATTTCGATTGTAAATAGATTTTAGGAGTAGTTTGAAGATCTTTACCATTATGTTTATTACTATAGCCAAGATTAATCGATCAGGCGCTTGACATAGTTGATCAGGCAATGAAAACAACGGATGTATTTTGATGAAATTTTCTTTTAATCAATAATTTATAATGAATCGAGTGTTTTTTCAAAAACAAAAACGATTCATCATTCTTTAGCATTGACTGTATGATTTCAAATGATTTATGTTTGATAAAAATCAATTTACATCGTAATACGACGAAAGAAAAACATTTTCTTGTATCCATCATTTGTATTAATATCTCTTGACATTAACCTTTCATGTACATGGTATCTTTCATTGACAGTAGCTGTCCCAGTACTTGCTATATCGTCAGTTGAATATATTTCCATTAACATAAAATAGTATGATTACTTTTGCGTGCTATCTCGTGTACTGTCTATTCCTTTTAGCCTATATATATATATATATCTACAAGAATACAAGTAAGAAATTTCAGTTATATTGTTATTTTATTGGTCTTGAATATTATTCGCTTGTTTTGCTAGTATTTTTTATGTATGTATATGAATATTTTATTTCTATTGAGAGAGTGTTTTCTCTCTAATTGATTTATTGACAGTGAATATCTAGTAACATCAGTCATTCTGATACGTTGAAGATATCATAGTAACTCAGAATTCCACGTGATTCATTCATGTACTAGCTATGTATGTTAATATATTTAGTGATTTCTGAAATCTTAGTCATAAATATTTTCTAATTTTTGATTGCTTTTGTTTTCGAAATTTTCTTCGAATATATTACTTTGAACTTTTAGCAACGGGTAACAGTGATATTATTATGCTCTTTTTAAACATAATCTTCAGTGATTTGATCCCTACATACGATGATTCAGATATTTTCTTTGGTTTAGTAAAAAATTACTGATTCGTAGCTGCATATGTCGATATCTTTTTTAATCATTGATAAAGTTCAGCTAGGTCCTATCGCCTTTTGAATTTATTAATTAGGTTTCCTTTTTAAAAGTCAATAAAATTTAATTATACATCATCAATTTAAAGTCATTTGTAGAACAAATTTTCATCTTTTACATTTTATTACATACTTATTCTTTATTGAAACGATGACATCCACATATTGAGTATAAGATAGCAAGACGATGAGTTTGGAGACTCGCAATTCTATACTAAATTGCATAATATAACTCTAGTTCCAAACTTCAGCTGTTGAACAGTTCAGTTTTATGAAAAAAAAATCTAACATTCTTGAGTCTGTATCGAAAATTACACGAAAAAAGTAGTCTTTGTTTAAAATCTCCAAACGATTGTTATCGAGCCTTGCTTTGTAGTCGCTCAACGAGTCAAAACCTTGAAGTAAACCGACAAGCATGTGTGTTTTCTTCAAAACTGATTGAAGTTAAAATTACATTATTCTTTTGTGCAATTTTCAATACAGCTTTCGCACATCAAGATTCTTTATGATATCAATGAATTTTTCACAACTAAAATCTGTAAGTATTATCCTATTACATTACTTTGCATAGAGGTGACTCTTCCTACTAAACGTATGATTTTATTCTTCATAGTATTGCATAGATATGAGGCTCTGATTTAGTAATTTTGAAAGAATCGAATAGATCAAAATGAAAATGAAAAAAATGACTTAATTGATTATCTGCTGCAGCATATAGAAAAAATCAGAAAATTTTGAAATCCTACTCTATGTTTTATGCTTAAATCTTTTAGGAATTTATTCGTAGATTTCAGTAGGTAATTAAACTAGAAAACATAGTAACACATATAGGAAAGGTAAATGAATTTTATCGAGGTAATTAATACACAAAAGTTATTGATAAAAATATTCAACAACAGAATCTGTTCTAAATTTGACTTTTTCACATGTAAACCACAATAGACGTTATTTTTAGAATATTATATTTTGTGACGAATTAATCCAAACATTACGAAATATATTAAGATGACTCTGTTCTAGATAATTAGACAACTTCACCATAGATATTGATTATTTTATGCGTATACAGTCTATATATTTGACTTGTAGATATAGATGTCTTGATATCTAGTTGTCCTCCATTCTTCATAAATACTAAAAACAGAATACCGAATTGCGCATACAGCTTAAATTTCGAAATGAATAGAGGTTATTTTTTTTAATTAATAACAATCTTACGCGAGTATTGTCGAAGTAGTAATCATGGTATATAGATAGACTCATTTTGACTTAAATCAAGCTTATAGATTTAAGAGAGATTTTGACATTACCAATAATTTATTCATTAGCAAAAGTTTATAAGATTCTACATTGGAAAAATCTGTATACACGTCTCATTATTTTATTCAAGGAAATTTCAATAAAAATACGATATTTGTACACCATTTAACGAGTTCTATCCAAGATCATATACCTTTGTTGAAAATTTGGGAAATCGCCAATCCCTCTTTAATATAAATAATAATCTAGTTTACTTATCTTTTATTGTATCTATCGTCATAAAATCACTTTCTTTTAGCTACCAGCACATCTTTTTTATTCTAGTAAATGTCCAGCCGATATCCTTATTTTTATGGTTAAATTTAAGAATTTTTATCCATATCTATTCGTCTTACTGATAAGAGACTCGTCATACGGGCAAATGTATATATTTCTTTTTTGTTTTTATTAGAACAATTAGTTGTTTAATTTTTTACAAAAAGTAAAATAAAATGAGAAGAAAAGAGTCGAAATCATTCATAACCATATTACTTTAAACGATGATCATCTCAGTACATCATACTATGTATATTACTGTCATCGATACGCGACAAAGATATTGTCATGATCAATGGTGCAAACAATCAATAATAGCACGTACTCTATGGAAATGAAGTAATTCGATAATTCTTCTATTTCATTCATTTACTGATTTACTGTTTATTTCTTTTTGAGCATATTAGAGATGATCTAATTCCCTGCCTTGTGCAATACTCATGTTTCTTGTTTTGTATCCCGAAGATTTCTGAAATATTTAGAATACATATGAGCAACATAGAAAAATCCAGCATTTCTTTTTTCACTGAATACATTAAAGTATAGCATCATTTTTCTATCGTGATCTCTAAAATAGATATGCAAAAAGATATTATATATGAATAAATAAAAAAATGTAGTTGAAGGAGTCTGTGCTTATTGATATGAATATATCTCGTGTTTTACTTGTTTCCTGTAAGTATCTTGTAACGAATAACTACATACTTACGTACGCAGGTTTTTATTAACCGCATGCTCATGCTTTTCGTCTTTGCTATTTATTGATATCTTTTTTTTTCGGCTAATTCTATACTTCTTTCAATCACAATAGAGTAAAACAGCAGTGATGATAATTTGCATGCTAGTATGTGGATAAATGGTAGGTTATTATTTGCCCCAAATTGGTTACCAGTGTTCACTTCCCAAATAAAATCCCCATTTACGGACTTTCTAATTTGGGGATTTTTTGACATACAATGTATCGTACATTTTGGTGTTTGGTTCGAATTAATTAAACAAAGTAAAAACAGTTCCACGATGAATCTAGTGATCAGAATATATCTTAGGTGCCTACGGTGAACAGGTCTGAGGTACATCTGGTGACCAGAATGTATTTTTGTATTGGCAAAAATGACTTCGTATCAACTCAAGATACGATCTGGTCACCAGATTCATCGTAAGATTGTTTTCACTTTGTTTAATTAATTAAAACTAATCATCAAAATTTATGATAGATTTCATGTCAAAAACAAATTCCTAAATGGGGATTTTATTTGAGAATTGAATATTGGTAACCAATTTGGGGTAAATGATAACCTACGATAGTACGAGAAGTACGATACTTTTGAATTACATTCAATATTGTATATCTTATGTTGAAAGGGTCCCCAAATTAAAATTCCCATTTGGTGACTAGAATTTATTTTAGATCCTCAAATGGGGATATAATTTGAAGGTTGATTCTGGGAACCACAATTTGGGGTAAATGATAGCCATTCTAATATTATTCTATACATATTTGCATGCATTCGATGTATATTTGATTTATGCTGTAAATATAATACCGACACAGCTGGTAAATTTAATCTATTTATATGACAATGATGATATCGCTAATAGATGTTGCAGAAAGATGCAGCTTTTTTAAATTCATTTGAGAAAAAATCGAGATGAAATTCACCTCCTTACATGTGCAAATCATCATCTTGAATTGTTAATTGCTTAAAAAGTTTTATTTATCATTTTCATTGATATGTCATAGACTTCTATTTGTCTTAGTTCACATTTTTCTATATGCTCAAAGATACACATGTGCAACAAAGTTTACTTTCTCTGAGACACATCGGGAAATGATAGTAATCATTTGTATTACTGTATATTTATTCTCCTTGGTGGCATTCTCTGTCTCTTTCTTC